CCAACAGGTTGCAAACTTTCATCAACAGCTGCCTTCGCTGGCTCCATCCTGAAGATCAAATGACCAGAAAGAATTAGTAACAAGAAACTCAGGGAACAAACCAACCAAGAGCCGCTTGCTCAACAAATTTGTAGGAGAAAATAGAGATGGATCGGGCACACATTGAGGAGGCCGTCGAGTGACATCACGCGCCAGGCCTTCGAGTGGAATCCAAACGGGAAGCAAAGAGTGGGTCGTCCTAGGGTGACATGGAGAAGATCGTGTGAGGAAGAGATGAGAGTTCGGGCAATCGTAGACCCAGCTGAAGAGGATGGCAGAAAATAGAAGAAAGTGGAGATGTGTTGTTGAAGCCTTATGTTCCACTCGGAATCCAAGGGAATAATAATATATTATTATATATTAAGATTGTTAATAGGAGGAGGAGTTTGCATTAAGAATGAAATGAGCAAAATGAAGCGAAGGTAGTTGACCATGTCTTTATTACTCGCAAAGCTTCACACTTTTTAGGTACATGGTTACAGTTATAATAATTTGATCTGAGGTGATTTTAGCTTTACATACAGTGATGTTCCAAACCTCAGCATACCAATTGTTATAGTTAACTACAGCAGTGTTTCAAACTAATTCCACTTTTTCCTTATATATACGTCTTAATTCATGAGAATGAAGAAACTATGTTGTTATTGACCCGCATTACTTTAACACATGACAAGCATATGACTGACAACTGGGATACCATTCCTATAATGAAAAGACAAAATATACCAGGAAGGTACGCGTATTCCTACAGGAAAAAGGAGAATGACTAGGAACTACGGATACTTCTATGATAGTTTTGTATGAGCACTAACTTGCGGGTTCGTGCAAAAAATGTTTTGACTAGTTATTATTATATCAAAAAGGCATAGACACATCCTTTGGTTTAGGTTATTGCTGAATGTTTAGTCCATAGCCAAAATAAAAGACACTCACTTATTAGGTTTCTTCTGAGTCCTGAAAGTGAACCTTTAATTTTTCTCAAAACTTTGATAATATACTCCACTTTCTAGATGTTTTTTTCACTTTAAACAAGTAAATAAATGAAATACATCTGACTATGAGTGACTTATCTTAAACGTTCATGTTATGTGGAAAAACAGTAATAATGAGATTAAACGTAGGTTGTAGAGTGATAACAATAAATTAATCGATGTGATCGTCAAACTTCTCTAGTCGAGTTGCTTAAGACATATATGCAGTCTCAAAAGATTGATTATTGAACAAAGAATATTCTTTTCGATAACTTCATCATCAGGTTCTACAGTTATATATCCATTATAATGACAGAATGATTGTTATTGACATCAGTGGTTTTTGAAAGGACTAACATCGGATCATTTAGATCAGAATTCCTATAGTTATCTGCAATTAATATATGTGTAAAACTTGGGCACTGTGGTAGTAAGTAATTCTACATTAGTTTGTTTATTAGATGTATCACACAATGAAACAGTATTATTTACTGGATGTGATCTTCATTGTCTTTTTGACTTTCAATATGAACCTTTAACTTGACCTAAGTCTATTGTCTCATCCCTAAACTCTTTGTTATATGCTGAGATTTTGTAAATTCCGGTTTAATAATACTTTGATAAAGCTATTAGCATTAAATAGCGAAACGTCAGTAAAAACAATATGGTTTTGTTTTTCATTCATTGGGAAATTATTATAATGAATATCATATACCCAATGCCAAAATTTTTTTAAAGTATTAAAAGTGAACTTGGTTTGGACATTTATAAGTCAATGGATGATGTATACGGTAGTGAGTAAAATTGTGATACTAAATTCAACACCAAGAGTACAAAGTAAATGATTATGAATGACAATAATAAATTCTCATGAGTCATGTTCATATCGAGTTCCATTCATATTGATTATATACTTCAGATGGATGAGTGATCATGTCAAGGACGGAGGTAGAGAAAAAGAATTTTTGGGGTTGAAATTTATGTTCCTTGTAAGTGTGTCGATGTGTAAGTTAGCGACTACGTTTCAATGAGAAAACAAAAGGTTAGTTAATGCAAGTGTAATGACAAGGGGCAGAGGAATTTATATGTACAGGACGGAGGGCCATTACAAAAGGGTCGATGTAATAAGGTATTTATGAATTTGCAAAGTCCAAAGCAGACCAGGGCAGTAACAGTAGTTGGACCTGTTTCTTCTGCACATAGAGCACCAGTTGTCTCAGGCGAATCGCAGTTGCCTCTGCTGTTTGGAGTATGCAGTACCTGGACGATTTTGGCAGTTTGTTTGATACCCAATAGATGATGGTGAAGGACTCTTCAGTGTTGGCTTTGTGGCCAGTTTGAACCAGGTGTTCTAATAAGGAGCTATTGATGCTTTTAATTACACGTTTATTTAACCACACAGGTAGATGCTCCCGAGCACAGGCTCAGTTGAATTGGTAAATACAATTAGAAGTGGCTAGTCTAGTTAATATCAGTAAAAAGTTTGAGCATTGTGGATTAGATCAAATAAAGTATAATTATATTTCAATAGTTTACACACAATGATCAGTTTTGCTATTGGTAATTTTGCGCGAAATATTACCAATAACAAAACTTATCATTGTGTGTAAACTATTGAAATATACTTTATTTGGCTAATCTGGGTACTTCATCTTTCAATAGAGGAATCCCCATTGGTCTTGTAGAAAATAAGACCTGAAGTTTGCTCGGATTAAAAGTTCTTTGAACTGATTTTTCCGACTTCGTAATTATTTCGCTAGGTATATCGCCATTGAATTGCAGTCGTACATACAAAGGCTTCTTGTTTACGGATAGTGAGTAGCCTTTTTACGCTTTCTTTGTCATATGTTTCCAGATAAATTTGTCGGGATAGCTATTTTGAATCAAGGTATCATATACAATCCTTAGTTCAGCTTCAATTAGCTCTTCGGAGCATATAGCTCTAACCACATGGCTGAGGGTCTTTACTACATTTCTTTTGCACTGGAGAGGAAAGAAGCTGTGAAAATGTGTATATTGTCCTGACCATGTGCTTTTCCTATGCAAATTTCTCTTTATACTACCATCTGGTTTTCTTGTGAAGAGGATGTCCAAGAAGGTGATTCTATTTTGGGATTTCTCTTCGCACGTGTATTTTAAAGTAAAATGTACTTCATTGAATTGAGTTATTATTGTGTTCCTATCTGGATCATTATCACAAGAATGGGCATCTTCAATCAGTTAATATATGCAGTCATTATCTTCCCTGATGAACGATACTGCCAGAACTAGGACTTACTTGAAAGAAGTTGGAACAGTCAAACCTAATGTGGCTTTAACTTACAAAGGCAACTGTTGACTTAAGCCATTCACGATGTACGTTTTCTGGTACAGCTCCTTATAATCCTAAATATCGACAGTTGAAAGCTATTAATAGCATCGATTAAACCAATTAACAGTTGCACAAACACATTGACTTCTTATAGCCGTCCGAATTTCGAAACTTTTTGCTAATTTTCATTTAATTATTTATCCTTCACAATCCAGTGTGCCTATCTTACTAACAGTAGGTTTCTGAACTGTTCATATGTGTACTTTCTCTATTTATCGCAGCTTGAATTGATGAGATCCAAATTCACCTACGGAGGTTTATGCAATCGATCATTTTAGCTGATTCTTAATCAACAGATATACTTCACAGCCTAAAGCCGGTATGCAATTGCTGTAACAGCTATTTCTATTACTATCATTTCTACAAGACAAATAACCAGTAAGCTACGAAAATTTTCGCACAGACTTCGATAACTAACAGGCGAAGCAAATACTAAAATCAACCAACAATAGTTATTGAAACCAGAAGTCTACCCTGGATTTCATAAACAAAGGATACAACATACCGAAAGGAAACTAGCTCAGGTAAATATCATCACAGATAATGCGACCACCAAATAAAATGCCTTGTCAATCATTATTTTAAGTATTTAGATGGATTACTTTCACTCCAATACATGAAACAGTGAGTTTGAATGTCAGAAGACAAACCAATAAATACAAGCAGATAAACTAAATATAATTTAAGAGAACAATTAAGCAATATCATTGGATTATCTACCATTATGTTCAGTTTATCTTAGCCAAATGTACACGGTTAGTTAGAATAATCCCACCGATGATGAATCCAGTCTCGAAACAGTCGACGACTGGTAAAGATTGGTTAGAAAATCTCCTACTAATTAGACCTATACAGTGGTTCCATGGTTCACCTTCCTAAACTCAAGTGTGTACAACTTCGCGGTCTGGACGTTTTGCTTTGGACAAAAGCCACGATGGTATTACCGGACTACATCCTGAATAGTTGTGCCACAGTCAATTTAAATTGTTTGTATTGCAAAACCTCTAACTTTGATATTTCTCCAAAATCTTGTTTATGAGAATTAAGTTATAAAGGGCAACTTCCCAATGAAGCTGTGGAAAAGGAGACTTCGTTCACATCCATGCAGAGTAAGGTTTTACTGGATTAGAGTTTTACACATTGGGTAAAAATTTCACGACCAAATAATTAGTCATGAAACAAAAGGCGTACCTGTTAGCTTAGCAGATTAGGCTGCACGATACTGATATTATTACTGACAAGTGCTGTTTCACATTATCCCTAATTCACGTCCACCATTTATAGGGCTTAAACACCTAGCTGCAATTAAAAAGCTAGTTGCACATTAGATCATACAGCCAAGTGTGAGAAAATATTTGCGTATAAAAATTGTAATAGTTGTATCATAAGGAGACAATGAGTGAGAAAAGGTCTAATTCATAGCACCTCAAGTTGACTGCCCCTGAGTTCCAGTCACACAGGCACACATACACAGAAGAGTAAAAATTGCATCTAACTACCAAAATCCTGAAAGTTCTTTTGGTCGGCGATTAAACACCGTTTCATTACTACAAGTTTTTGGAAATGTAAACAAATTTACAATAGAAGAAATACTTAACACACAATAACAATGAACTTACTGGGAGTGCAAGCTGCATCAGTATCGGGAATAGGACCACTAACTGGAACTTCTCCAGATTTTAAGCATTTACTTATGTAAACAGCCTTCCATTTAGCATACTTTCTAGCCTTTTCAATCTAACACAGTAAAAATATGTTTCAATCAATCCATGAATATTGGCTTACATCATCACCAACTTCTCCAACTCCTGAAACAACATCTAACAGTGTCGCTGCTGTAAGAAATAATTTCACAGTAGAACTAAAGCTGTTAGTACATGAAATTAAACGTACGGTCCAAAATCGCCATTCATGTCTTTTCCATACGCGGCTTTAAACAATCTGAGGGCATACTGTTCAACATATGGTATTCCTATTGTTTCATTCATAACTTCTTCACGATCTGAGTTATTTTGTTTTAATTCTTCCAATTTATCCATAAGAGATGATAGAAATACTTTGATAGATGGTGATTTTTGGTTTGTACTTAAACCTCTCTGAAATGCTTGAAGCAGACCTGTAGTTTACTTCGGATAAAAGCCTATTTATACAGCTTACAGTAGTAAGTGATAGTGGGGTCTTTTGTATAATGATCTGTAGCGCATCTCAAGAACACATTTAAATGGGCGAGTTCTTTAGGTATTTTTGAAAAATCCATTATAACTAGCTGAAAATAACAGAAGAGAGTGGAAGTGTAACTAATTATGCATTTAAAAAGTGACATTGTGAGGGTTTAATCAGCCCATTCAAAAATGGTTAACAGTTAGGTATGACATCTGAAAAACCGCGACATTCAAAATGTTTTATCGTGTTAAATCACTCACGCTTTACTAAAGAAGAATTAAGGTGTGGTTATGTTGGGAGTCAGTTATACACTCAAATAAGCGTCCTTCAAAATAAAGTAATACGACTTATGATAAATATCCAAACACAGACCACTTTTAGATAAAACTTTCCCAAGTAGAATGATCAGAGAGTAATAAGTTCACAAACAATAACCTTTAGTGCGAGAGATATTGTCTCTAGGTACGTATTAAATTTATGTAGTTTGGAGCAACATGAGGACTTTGTGATACGTTTAGTACACTAAGTACGGGTGCATTTTTATGGATAAATTTGTACTTGGTTCTTGAAATTTCATTCCATGATTTAAAAAGCATAACACAGGTCTGCAATATTTATGCCACCAGAAAGTCCCCTATACCTATTGAAAACAAACTAGAAGAACAAATATTCAGAAAGCAAGTAGGGAAAAATGGAAAAACGGAGTAAATCGAAAGGGAAATGGAGAAAAACAAAGCCAGTACAAAAAGACAAGGAGTAGCGAGGGACCAACTATAGTAGCAATACACTGCATAAGACTGGACTGTTTTTCCAGTGGATGCTTACAGTCCACGCAGCTTTGCTTAGTCGTCAAGCATTCACTGGATATTGTTGACTGAGTGACTTGAGGTTATGCCATGAGAGAGTGGAAGCCACATAAACGCATTATAGGCTTCATACAATCTAGGCCTGTAAATAGACGGAATTCTACCTTAACCGGCTTACTGCACTCATGGATCGCTAGAGAAACTTCAAAGATATGTCACTATTAGGAAGACTTGGATTAGTCACTATAGTATAAGCTGGTATCGAGTCCACTTCTATCCCACGGTTAGTGATATAAAAGTCCAAACTTTACAGCTAGCTGCCATAAGACCTGTATTTTGAGACTAATAACACTTTATCTCCCTCCTTTAAATATTTTACAGAGAACTAGAATCTCTTGTTAAAGGTGGTGGTACAATGAAGTGGCGCAGTACTCATACAATATGCGGTTTTATGAATAGCACAGGCATTAGCAGTTCTAACTTTATCCGAAACCTCAAATCTTTTTATTTCCGAATTATCATTTACGCACCTAGGAAAAACAACAGACTGAGCGAAAAAAACATATTCCTTTTCACTTAGTCCCTCATCGACCCAACAATACCATTTTATTTTTTACATCGAAATTCTACCAATCAAGTGGTTATTTTACTTAATTAGTTTTAGGTATATGGGGGCAGAATTAGATTAATTAAGTAACTTTTACGTAATTCTCCGGGGTCATCATATTCTTCTTAGTCATAATTACTTAACAAATTCCCTGATTTCGTGATAACTTCTTCCTAACGCCCAAGAATTAACTTATCTGGAATTCCGTAATTAATATTCACTACTCCTGCAAAACATAGATATCCTGTTACTAACATCTAATAACCGCACCCAGTTAGCTAGCTTGCTAGTTTTCTAGCCAGTCCCAAGCCCGGGTAAAGAGGGAGGGTTGGGCGTGGGGCTAGCAACCTCACACCACTAAACCTATCAAACTGCGAGAGAAACTTCAACGCACAGAAAATATATCAAGAATACAAAAAATTCAAATAACATCCTCATTCTTCGCTGGAATCAGAAAGGCGAAATGACACAGCGGGCTGGTAAAAGCCTTCGGGAAGCCAGTCAGCAAGTCGATGTGTCTTCTCTCGATGAAATCAAGAATAAGAATGAGGACGTGGAATGTCAGTACAATGTACAAGGCTGGGAAAACTGCCCAGGTAGACAAAGAAAGGCGAAGATATGCCTTAGAAGTGATGCGTATCTGCGAGAGCAGACGGGATGGATGTGGACTAACAAAATTGTCAACTGAAGAGTTAGCAATCTACGCCAGTCACACAGACGACAACCACGAACACACTGAGGAGGTGGCCATTATGATGTCACCAGTGGTAGCCAGAGCCCTAATTCAGTGGGAACCAATTTCATCCAGGATCTTGACAGCAAGATTCAACTCAAAAGGAAGGAAGGTCACAATTATCCAATGCTACGCAACTGCAACAACAACAGCAACATCCAGCGCCAATCACCATCAACGGGAGGGATTTGAAAGAGGTTACTTCATTCACTTATCTAGGGAGCATTGTCTCAACTACAGGAGGAACGGACGAGGATGTCAAATCGAGAATCGGGAAGGCGAGAAACACATTCATCAACCTGAAACCAATCTGGAAATCTTCGTCAATCAGCATCAACAAAATTCGGATTTTCAATACAAACGTCAAGTCAGTTCTTCTATACGGATCAGAAACTTGGCAGGTCACCAAGAATATTTCCAACAGGTTGCAGACCTTTATTAACAGCTGTCTTCGTTCTATACTCAAGATCAGATGGCCGGAAAGAATCACGAACAAGAAACTATGGGAACAAACAAAACAAGAACCAATTGCCCAACAAATGTGCAGGAGAAAGTGGAGATGGATTGGACACTCGCTGAGGAGGCCGCTGGGTGACATCGTGCGTCAGGCCCTCGAGTGGAACCCGAAAGGGAAGCGGCGAGTGGGACGCCACGGATGACATGGAGGAGATCGTGTGAAGAGGAGTTAAAACAGTATGGACTAACATGGATACAAGTGAAAAGTACAGCAGAAGACAGAAGCAAGTGGAGGCATGCAGTTGAAGCCCTATGTTCCACTAGGAACCCAAGGGAACAAAAATATATAATAAATAATAACGTAACTACAAACAACTCTGAACAAGAGAAGAGGCAAGACTTTTACAGACAACTACAAACAGTAATGGACAACATCCCAAATGGTGACATCAAAATCCCCATGGATGATATGAATGCCAGCCGAGCTAGGAGCAGATTATACAGAAAGGGAACTCATCATGGGTCGAGAGGCTCTCGGAGAAATGAATGGGAATGGAGAACTCTTCGCAGACCTCTGCGCTGTCAATGATTTGGTGATCAGAGTCAGTGCATACAATAACAAGTATATACACAAAGCAACATGGATTTCGCCTGACGGACATACCACAAACCAGATAGATTTGGTTTCATCGCAATGCTGCTCAAGGAAGTGGAGACAGCCTGCTGGACACAAAGTCGAGAAGGGGAGCAGATGTGGGCTCAGATCATCATCTAGTTCAAGAAACCTTCAAGGTGAACCTAAAATCTCTGACAACAACTGGAGACAGGCCACAATTCAAGTTCAACATTCAGAAACTGAAGGACAAAACCACAGGGGAGGCTTTCACTACAGATATCAGAGCAAAGTCGGATACACTAATTGGCATTACTGAGGACACCTATGTGGAAGAACATCGGAACTAACCCTCTGACGGTGATGTTCAAGGAAACGTGTACAACTTTTCTAGGAAGAAAGAAGAGAGAAGATAAAGAATGGCTCTGGAAGCTAATCGAGGAGAGGAGGGTGGTGAAAGAGAAGATGACTCAATGCGGAGATGGACGACAGAATGAGAAGCTGAGTTCAAGGTACACGGCGCTGAATAGATAAGTGAAGAAGAGTGCTAGGAAAGACAAAAGATAATTCTACGACACACTGGTCGGCAACTGAAGCAGAACAGGCAGGCAGGCCGCAGACCAAAGAGACCTCAGGATACTACATCAGATAACCAAGTCTCTATCCGGGAAGAGGTCAACCCAGATGATGAAACCAATAAAAGATGCTCAAGGGAACCCGATTGCCAAGGTGGAGAAACAAATAAAACAATGAGCTGATCACTTTAAAGGACTCGTGAACCGACCATCATCTGCAACTCGCCCAGAAATATACCACCACCAACAGCACGCACAGAACTCCTAGTGGACACCGATCCTTCAAAGAAAGAAGAAATCCTGAATGCAATCAAGCTACTGAAGGCTGGGAAAGCAGCAGGACCAAACGGAATTCACCCCGAAACACTGAAAACAGACCCAGAGACTGTGGCAAATGTTCTCAGGCCACTACTGCAAAAGGTTTTGAAAGAAAGAAAAGTCCCTATCGATCCGAAGAAAGGCTACCTTGTCAAGATGACAAAGAAGGGTGACTTAGGCCTGTGCAAGAACTGGCGTGGAATCATGCTCTTGTCCACACCAAGTAAAATACTAACTCACATCATCCTGGAGAGAATAAAGGATGCACTGGATACAGAACTATGTTAGCCCAGAACAAGCTGGATTCAGGAAAGGCAAATCATGTGCTGATCAAATTGCAAGTTTACGCATCGTCATCGAACAAAGCATAGAATGACAGTCAAACCTCTACCTCAACTTCATCGAATTCGAAAACGCCTTCGACAGCGTTGACCCTAATTTGGAAACTACTTCAACACTATGGCGTGCAGTAGCCAGGTCTTGAACAACCTCATTCAACAGCTATACACCGGTGCCACCTGTCAGGCAATCCACAACGGAAAACTCATCAAGGCGTTCAAAATGAATACAGGGGTGAGACAAGGCCTATTATCACCAATAATATTCTTAATTGTGGCGGACTGGAATTTGCGTCAGACTGTGAGGAGCAAGGAGTCAGGAATACGCTGGACCACCGGTAGGAAGACTCTAGATCTGGATTTCGCAGATGACATGTGTCAAATGTCACACAAACTCGAAAACTTGCAAGTGAAAACTAACAAACTGGTTGAAGAGGCAGCGAAGACAGGACTGCAGGTGAACATAGAGAAGACGGAGGTGATGAAGATAGACAACGAACCGCAACAACAGCAACAGCCAGCACCAATCACCACCAACTGGAAAGATTTGACAGAGATTACTTCCTTCACTTATCTAGGCAGCACCGTTTCAACCACAGGCAGGCGGAATGGATGAAGATGTCAAAGCCAAAATCAGAAGGGCAAGACACACCTTCA